TGGGGGCGTGGCTCAGTGGAAGAGCCCCTGCCTAGAATCCCCAGGGAGGGGCTGGGGACGTGGCTCAGTGGTAGAGCCCCTGCCTAGAATCCCCCAGTGAGGGGTTGGGGGTGTGGCTCAGTGGTAGAGCCCCTGCCTAGAATCCCCCAGTGAGGAGCTGGGGGCGTGGCTCAGTGGTAGAGCCCCTGCCTAGAATCCCCCAGTGAGGGGCTGGGGGCGTGGCTCAGTGGTAGAGTATCTGCCTGTAATCCTCCAGTGAGGGACTGTGGCTTGGTTCAACAGTAGAGTAACCACTAGAATCCCCCAGGGAGGGGCTGGGGGCGTGGCTCCACAGTAGAGAACTTTCACTTCACGTTACAAGCCCTTGGTCCTATCCTTACAGTGTATAAAAGATTATCTTTTAAAAACTTAGAAAGGGAAACCGAGAAGGAATAATCTCTCTGAGGGCACTGAGGAGCGGGTTGTGTGCTTGTGGTAGTGGCTAGACAGTTGGAGGAAGCTGAGAGCTGGGTAGACCCTCACCTCACTGGCTGCTCCCTCCACGGACCAGGTGAACCGTATGTAAGCATCAAAGCGTACGCTGCTGTTGAAGAGGACGAGGTGTCCCTGTCTGAGGGTGAAACCATCGATGTCATTCATAAGCTCCTGGATGGCTGGTGGGTGGTCAGGTAGGCGACACCCCCGCCCCCGCACACATCTATCTTAGTGGGTTTGGGAGACCTTACTTGGGCTCTGAGCTGACTTGGCTGTGTGATTCTGGAGTCGTCTGTCCCCCTTAACCACTGAGTTTCATCTCCGACTTTCCACAATCAAACAAACAAAATTAAAAAAAAAACGATAAGGAAAAATGATTCGTCTATTTTGTTTGGCTTGTTTTTGTTTTTCCAGACAAGGTTTCTCTGTGCAGTCTTGGCTGTCCTGGCACTCACTTTGTAGACCAGGCTGGCCTCGAACTCACAGAGACCTGCCTATCCCTGCCTCCAGAGTGCTGGGATTAAAGGTATCAGCCACCATCGCCCAGAGACACTTAGACTCTTAAAGGTGTCACAGTATACACCTGCAAGATACACGTCTAGCTTCTTTCCCTTGCCCAGACTTGGACAGGAGGGCTGGGGCGTGCAAAGGTTGGGTTGATACAGATGAGGAAAGTTTGGCCTTTTGGATGTGGATGTTTGAAATCTCTAAGCTTGCATTGGTCCTCATGGGTGAGGCATTTTGAAGGCCTCCAGCTGACTGCCTGAGCCTCCAGTGTGACCTATCTTGCAGGAAAGGGGATATCACCGGCTACTTCCCATCCATGTATCTGCAGAAGGCTGGGGAGGAGATAAGCCAGGCCCAGCGACAGATCAGAAGCCGCGGGGCACCACCTCGCAGGTGAGACGGGTCCTGATGGGGCAGGCCTGGGGGGAGACCTGAGGAGGTTTCTGGCTGGGTAGGTACCTACCAGGTTTAGTGCTGTGCCTTCGCTGTTGTTGGAGGTGGCAGACACAGCGATGGAGGGGAAGGAAGGTCAGGGACAGACCTAGAGAGGTGCCCGCAGATGTTTAGAGTCCTTGGGGGCAGTCCCAGAGCAAGGGTCATGTTGATGGCCAAAGTGGGTATGGGAAACGGTCCTGGGCTCTGAGACTGGGTGGGATCCGTAATGCCCCCACCCCCCACAGCTCCTGCAGGTCCCCTTGCCTCTACTTCAATTGTTAAATATATGCTTAGGACCTGAGGAGTGCCAGTCCCTCTGAACTCACTTGCTGAGGCCAGGCATAGGATCTCAGGTTGTCCTAGTCTCCTACTTTCTCTAGCCAGGCTTAGGGTTTCAGGAGTGTCCACCCGTGCCCCGGGGGCAGCGACTCCGGGTCACTGACACCTGCATCCCTGTTGGGCCAGGTCGACCATCCGCAACGCACAGAGCATCCACCAGCGTTCTCGGAAGCGCCTCAGCCAGGACACCTATCGTCGCAACAGCGTCCGATTCCTGCAGCAGCGCAGACGCCCAGCGAGACCCGGGCCGCAGACCGCGGTTGGCGCAAAGGGTGAGCGCCGGAGGGGGCGAGGCTGGGGCTGCAGGGCGGAGAGGTGAGTTCTTAGGGCCCCTGGGTCCAAGGGGCGGGTCGAGACCTAAGGATGGGATCATGACGAGAAAGTGCAAGCGGCTTACAACTGGGATGCTTGGGTGTCTGATGGTCCTGGCTTTGATTTGCAGACAATCCATCGACTCAGAGCGCCAAACCACAGCCCGCGGTGCCTCCGCGGCCCAGCTCGGACCTCATCCTGCACCGCTGCACAGAGAGCACCAAGAGGAAGCTAGCGTCCGCAGTATAAAGGACATAGGCCCTAGGCGAGTCCCTTGTATATTCCTGTATATACTTGTCTATAGCCTCGGGTCAGAGGCTCCTCCCCCGCCTTAATGTTTGGAGTGGACTGAGACTCTGCAGCGAAAGACAGGACTGGGGTTCTCTCCAGAGGTATTACTAGGACAAGAGGAGGCACTGAGCGCTGCTCAGGGGAGTTTGCAGGAACAAAAAAAAGTCTGATTACCTGCTGGCCTTCTGCCACAGACAAGTTTGCAGAAGGCCAAGTGCCTTAGGAACGCCCTGGGAAAGTGTTTCTCAACCTGTTGGCTGTGACCCCTTTGGAAAGGGTGTCGAAAGATTTTCACAGAGGTTGCCTAAGACCATTAGAAAACACAGATATTATTTTTTATAGATGTTTATATTACGAGTCATAAAAGTAACGAAATGACAGTTATGAAGTAGCAATAAAAATAATTTTATGATTGGGGGTCCCCACAACTTTGGGAACTAACTGTATTAAGGGTCACAGCATTCGGAAGGTTGTGAAGCACTGTCCTAGGGGCTCAGGATGTTGTCTAGTTGATAGAGTGCTTGACTAGAATGCACCAGGCCCTGGCTTCCATTCCCAGCATCCCATAATTGGGCGTGTCAGTGTTCCAGCCTCTGAACGGTCTAGCCAAGGCTTGCGTCTGTAATCTCAGAGCCAAGAGTCAAGAGAACTGCTCTTAGGTTCAAGGTCAGCTTGGGCCATGTAGGGAATTTGAGATCAGATTTAGCTCCAGTGTGAGATCCTGTCTCAAACCACCCCATCCCACAACGTAACCTTGGGATAGGGAGTCTTTGGAGTTGTGACGGAAAGCAGCCGTCATTAGTGGATAACGTCATTAGTTACTTTCATTGCGTTCATGCCTCTAAGACCTTGCTGGTATTTCTATCCTCAAATGCAATGACTGCTGGCTGGTCTTACGTCAACTTGACCCAAGCTGGTGTCATCTAAGGGAGGGAACCTTATTTGAGAAGATGCCTCCATGGGGCTGGAAAAATGGCCCGGTGGTTAAGAGCACTGGCTGCTTTCCAGAGGTCTGGGGTTCAATTTCCAGCATCTATAGGGTGGCTCACATCTGCCTGTATCTCCGGTTTTAGGGGATCTGACACCCTCACACAGACATATATGAACACAAAACATCAATGCACACAAAATAAAAATAAATACACATTGAAAACAATTTTTTAAAGAGAGAAAAATGCCTCCATAAGATCCAACTGTAAAGCATTTTCTCAGTGAGTCTTTGGGGGAAGGCCCAGCCCAACCATGGTGGGTGGCACCATCCCTGGGCTGGTGGTCCAGGGTTCTATAAGACTGAGCAAGTCAGTAAGTAGCACCCCTCCATGGCCTCTGCATCAGCTCCTGCCTCCAGGTTCCTGCCCTGCTTGAGTTCCCGTCCTGACTTTTTGCAGTGAGAACAGCAATGGAAGTATAAGCCAAATAAAACTCTTTCTTTTCTGCTTGCTTTTGATTGTGATGTTTTATCTCAGCAATAGAAACCCTAATTAAATCAGAAGCCATGGTGCAAAATGAAGCCACACATCTTGCAAAAGACGACGGCCTGGCATTGCAGGCCTGGCATTCCAGTTGCTCCAGAGAGGAAATATTTTCACCATGTTTCTTCTTGGAAAATAGGTCTCGCTGCAACGTATCCCGGGCTGTCCTTGATCCTCCTGCCTCGGGCTTCTGAATGAACCCTGAATTCCAAGTGTGCACCATTTTTAGTTTTGTTGTTTGTTTTTTAAAGTGAAGTCCTGCTGAGATGTCCCCCCTTTATGGGGACAGGTGTGTGTGTGTGTGTGTGCGCGCGTGCGCATGTGCACACACTGACTCAGGACTCCATGTCCATCAGGCTGGCCTCTAACTCCCTAGGTGCTGGCAGATGACCATGAGCTCCCCATCATCCTGTTTCCATCCTTGAGTGCTAGAATTTCAGCCGTGCACATCCTTACCCCACAGTTGTTTGCCGAAATTTCTGATCTTGCTGATGTTGCCTTTAGCAGCCTTAGTGTTTCTTTCCTGCCCTGTGCTGGCCAGGGAGGCTGCCCAAGGGCCTGTGTGTGCCGGGAAGCCAAGGAGGGAGCAAGGGCCACACCCATGGCTGCCAGCTTGTTGGGGCGTCACTGTCTGCTGATCATCAGTCTCTCTGAGTGAACATACAGTGCTGGCCTTACTCCAGTGTCTCTGGGCTTGAGAATCAGAGACAGGAATCCACAGCCCAGGAAATACAGGCAGTTTACTTGGGATAAATCTATCAGGAAGCAGGCAGAGGTCATTTGGGACTACACCAGCTTGGACACATTTTTTTGGGGGGGGGCACATTTTCTTTCTTTTCTTTTTTTCTCCCCCTCCACCCTCCCCCTCTACTCCTTCTCCTCTTTTTCAAGACAGGATTTCTCTGTGTAGCCCAGGCTGTCCTGGAATTCTCTCAGTAGACCAAGCTGGCCTTGAACTCAGAAACCCACCTGCCTCCTGGGTGCTGGGATTAAAGGCTCGTGCACCATGCCTGGCTAGTTGGGGGCCATATTTTAAGGTTTGTGAACTGGATGCACCCCAGTTAGATGGGTGTGTCCTCTGAGTTGGATTTGTCTGGGCCATTTCTCCCCCAGTCCTTTGACTGGAAGACATCAATGCCTGGCCTGAAGAAACAGCAACAAATTAAGAACAAGCTCCAGTCTCCGTCCCATTTATCAGGCCACGTAACTCCACAGACATCACATTGCCATGGTTACTGAAGAACACACTATATGCCATCCTCTCCACAGTGGCAGTACTTGTTAGCCCCCACAGGGTCTCACATCACATTACAGGGTAGAGAAGGAATGCACAGATGTCATGGAGTATTCCTGTAATCTCAGATCGCTGGAGGCTGAGGCAGGAGGATCTGGATTTCTAGGTCAGTCTGGTCTGCATAACAAGATCCTGTCTTGAAAGAGGAGGAGGGAGAGGGACAGAGGAAGAAAGGAGGACAGAGGAAGAGTGAAGAGGAGGAGAGAGGAAGGAGGGAAGAGGAAGGAGGAGGGAGGAAGAGAGGAAGAGGGAAGAGGAAGAAGGAGGTGGCCTTTAAGCCTCAACTTACCTGACTGTTAGATCCTGTGTTACTCTGGATTTTCCATTTCAGTCCTGACCGGTCTAGCTCCAGGCATGCAGAATACCTCAGAATTCTAGAATATGGGACAATGTCTCTAGACGATTGATTTTCCTTAAACTTGGAAGCTTACCAGACCACAGGGCATAGGCTGGGAACATGCAGAGACACCTGTATGTGTGCACACCCCTCGACAAACACACACAGCTTTCACAGTGGGTTTATTCAAACGGTACAGCCTGGGTGAGTGGCACAGCTCAGCGAAGCCAAGGGGAGCCAACAACTGGACCTACAACAGTTACCGGCTTTACTGAACCGAACTACAAAGGTCACCCGAACAAGTGTGATGTGTAAATTAGGATTCCAACTCAAAGTGGGGGGAAAGGGAACATTGTTTTTATTAAACCGAGGGGTTTAACAGTCTGTTGTTCTGGTCTCACAGCCTATTAGGTCTGGAACGTTCTGGGTCTCCACATAGAGGAATGGCCAGATTTCCTTCCTTTTCTCTTCCAGCAATTTCTCTTTATTGAAATGGGGTCTTGATAGGGAGCCAGGCTGACCTCAAACTCAAACTCAGATCCTCCTGCCTTGGCCTCCCCGGTACTCGGATGGCGGGCTCCCGCCCTCCGCTCCCGGGAGCGCCGAGCCCCACTGCGCGTCCTTCTTGCTCAGCTTCATGATGGAGAAGAGCTGTTCGCAGATGTGGGTGCTGCTGAACATGGACAGCATCTTGGCACAGTGGCTCCTGTATCTGGGGTAACTGCTCCAGAGGTGCTTGTAGAAGTCCGGGATGCCCACCTTGTCGTACTTGGTCCTCAGCACCGTGTTGCACTGCAGGTCGATCACCTCCATCTGGAGCTCCTCGCGCACGCTGTCAACCTTGATGGAGAATGGGGAGCTGAACAGGGACAGCTCGCTCTCACACGATTTGAAATCCGTCAGGCGCTTCTGGAACTCGGCCTTCAGTTCTACGATCTTGGGGATGTAGTTGAGCCCGTCGCTCTCACTCCGGGAAACCGATTTCAGTGTGGGGAAGTGGGCCAGGTTGTTCCTGGCCAGATGCGTCTCCCAGAGGCACAGTTTCGCTAGGAAGGCCCGGATGAAATCATACATCTGGGTCACGATCTGTGAATGGCCTTGGAGGGAGGCATCCAGTGTATTGAGGTGCGTTGTCATGTCCACTAGGAAGGCCAGGTCCAGGATCCAGTCCTGAGAGCTGAGCTGGGGCACAGGTTTGCCCCGGGAAGACATGAAGGAGTCTATTTCCTCCAAGGATTCGAAGAACCTCCTGAGGACCAGCCCTCGGCCCAGCCATTTGAGGGCCGTGTGGTACAGTAGGCTGCCATACTGACTGTCCAGCTCGTAGAGCAGTGTCGTGAAGTCGCCGTGGTTCAGGCCACGGGAGCAGATCCAGTTCACCGAGTCTACCACCACGTCCATGACGTGGCCCATCCTTAACTTCTGGGCGCACAGCCACTCGGGGTGAATGATACAGCGCATGGACTTGAGGTCGGCTCCCTTGCAACATGAGGCTGCCCTGGCTCTGAGCTTCGTCACCAGCCCGCTGTTGGCATCCACCATGGCCGGCGTGCCCGTGGAGGCCACACTCACCAGCTTGGACCAATCGATGTTGAACCTCTTGAGACTCTTCTCCACGCGCAGGAATATCTCATTCCCGGATTTGGCACCTGTCATGGGCACAGTGTCCAAAAGTTCCTCGGACACGTCGAAGTTATCGTCGACGCCGCGGATGAAGATGGCCAGCTGGGTGGTGTCATTGATATCCGTAATCTCATCGATGGCTATGGAGTACGCCACAAACGAGCGGATTTTCTGTCGTAACTTCTCCCATAAGCTCCCGGCCACCTCTTCCACCGGCTGCACGGGGTTCGTGGGCGGACTTGCATTCAAGAATGTTTGCTCAGGACACACGATCTCCGAGGCCCCCAGGAGATACTTCCGCAGTCCCTTTTTCAGCTCTCGAAGCTTCTCTTCCCGCGCCTGCCCCGAGTACTGGTCGTAGTGCCGGCTGTGGTTGGTCTGGTAGTGGCGGCGCAGGTTGTACTCCTTGGACACTGACACGCTCTGCTTGCAGATCAAACACGTGGGGATGTTCTGCACCTCCACGAAGAAATATGCTCGCTCCCACTTTTCTTGAAACACGCGGCCCTCCTGGTCTATCTTCCGTTTCCCCACTTGATAGAGACATGGAATGGTGACTTGACAACTCCCTAGCCCTTGCCCTGTTTTATTTTTGAGAGTGGGTGTCCTGATACCCCAGCGAGCCTCAAACTTACTAGGGAGCCAACAATGACCTTGGCTTTTTGATCCTAACTCCACCTCCTAAATGTGAGATGGTTGGCATATGCCACCATGTCCAGCTTCTCTCTGGCATTTTTGTTTTGTTTTAAAGACAGGGTGTCTCTACACAGCCCCGGTTGTCCTGGAACTTACTATGTAACGAGGCTGGCCTCAAACTCACAGATCCACGTCTCTGCCTCCTGAGTGCTAAGATCAAAGGCATGGACTACCATGCCCAGCTTGTTCACTGTTTTTTTGTTTTGTTTTGTTTTGCTTTGCTTTGTTTTGTTTTGTTGTTGTTATTTTGTTTTTGAGACTGCCTTATTCTGTAGCTCAGGCTGGCCCTGAATTTCTAGTGGGACCCTTGCCACAGTTTCCTCAGAGCTGGGATTATAGCTGTGTGATACCTTGCTTAACTTCCAAGAGAGGTTTGAAATATTAAAAAGGGGACCAAGCAAAGGAAATATATGACTTATCATATAGATCTCAAAAGAGCCAGAGTAGATTCAGACCCCTACCTAACTCAGTATGGTTAAGTGTGCATGTGTTGGGGGGAGTGAATTGAGTTTGTTTGTTTTGGCTTTTTTGAGACAAGGCCTCACTCTGTAGACCAGGCTAGCCTACAACTCATGCAATCCCTAGTGCTGGGATTACAGCCCTGAGACAGCATGCCTAGCTCCATGTGTAGGTGTTTGAAGCCAACATAAAGTTAAGCGGAACAGTTCCTGAAAGCACAAATAGGAAAATTTATCTTAAGAAGTTGTAGTTGGGGGTTGGAGGTGTGACAGAGTGCTGGCATACTATGCATGAAGTCCCGCCCCCCAGACTTTAATACCTAATGCCACATGAAACCAGGTATGGTGTCATGAGTGTGTAACCTAGCACTTGGGAGGCAGAAGCAAGATGATTTCTGTGAGTTAGAAGCCAGCCTGGGCTACATAATAAATTATAGGCAAGTGTCTGGAACTGAAGGAGTGAGACACTGTCTCAAAACACCAGATAACTGGGTGTGGTTGTGCGTACCTGTAATCCCAGCCAACAGGAAGCAGAGGCAGGTGGATCTCTGGGAGTTTCCAGACTAGGCAGAGCTGCACATTGAGAGTAACAATAATAAAAACCAACAAACAAAAGAGAACTAAAACAAAAGGTAAATAGGACTTCAGATATAGGTCAAAGGTAGAGTGCTTGCCTAGCTTGTGTGAGACCTTGGTCACTGTCACCAGCCTGCAACAAGCCAAACCAAACCAGCACATCTGGAAGGCTCCAGGCTGCAGGTGGGAGGACCCTGTGTAAGTGCCCACCATGACACGACACAAAGCAAAGCACTGTGTCCTTCCATGTTCTTGCTCCTCAAAATACTCACCATTACTGAGTTCAAGTCCAGGAAGTGGTCTGCGGGGAGACACGGGAGGAAGAGGGGAAGTCTGCTTTCATTCGGCCCAGCTAGCTGTGTCTCCACACTTCTGGTGGTGTCAACACAGTCCTAGGCAAACTGGGAAGTGAGGCTCAGGGGGGAACCCCACACTGGTCAGTGAGACAGCTCGTTGGGTGAGGATGCTTGCTGCCAAACCTGAGGCCTGAGTTCAATCTCTGGGGCCCATGTGGTAGAAGGAAAGAACTGACTCCCACAAGCTGTCCTCACACGCGTGCCATGACAAGCCCCTCATAAATAGTTATAATAAAAATAATAAGTGGGACAGGGCCAGAGGCACAGCTGCAGAAGCAAAGAGAGAGGACCGCCTTGGGGCATCTTGACTTTGAGATAAAGCCCAGCCCCTCCCCATCCTGCCAGCCTCCTGGCTGAGCTCCTGAGCCACTCACTAGGCAGCTGTCCATCTCCAGCTTGTTCTCAAGGGGAGCTGGGGCTCACTCACCTAATGACGGTGAATTTGATGAAGTCTGCAGCATCCAAGATCCTTTTCATGGAACTGATCTCGAGGTACCCAGGGGCTTTGAACACCACCCCCGGGGGCATGCCGTCGATCACCACACAGCCGGGGTTGAAGGTGATTTTCCTGTAGGGAACCTTCACGGGGAAGTCCACTCCGATCGCCTCCCCTGTGATGAGAGGTGCGGTGTAAACTGGATGACTCTGGGCCTTACTTTTCCAAAGTTATTTTTGAGTCAGGGTCTACGGACTTGAATTCAAAGCAAGCTTCCTGCCTTAGTCTCTTAAATGCTTGGATCACATGCCAGGCTGTGCGTGCTTTGTCTTTAATGTCAACATTTGAGCTGGACCTGGAGGCACACACCTGTAGTCCCTGCTACTTGAGTAGCTGAGAGAGGTAATATCACTGGAATCTAAGTGTTTGACGTCAGCTGGGGCAACACAGTGACATGCTGTCTCCAAACCCAACAATGACTGTGTTGAATCTGGTAACATAGGCCCAGAATCCTACTGAGTTTAGCTACTCAGGGGGCTAAAGCAGGAGGATCAAAAGTTCAAGAACTGCCCACTCCATGGAGACTTTTGAACCACCCAAAAGGGCATGGGCCTGTAATCTGACACTTTTCCAGAATATATTGATTGAATTCAAGACTGGCCTACATTCTACAGCCACAGCCTGTCTCAAAAATAAACAAGTAAAAAGAAAAGATATTTTGGCCAGAGATTATAACAGGACTAGAGTACTTTCAAAGTTTGGTACTTCATAAAGGGGCAGAGGGGTAATGTTTATAAATTTTGGAGGTGTGGGGCTGGAGAGATGGCTCAGCAGTTAAGAGCACTTGCTGCTCTTCCTTGCTTTTTTGGACTGAGTTTGCACTCCCATGTCGGGCAGCTCACAACTGCCTGTAACTCCAGCTCCGAGGGCTCTGGCGCCCCCTTCTGGCCTCCAGGGACACTGTCTTCACATGTGCATGCCCCTCCAACACACACTGAACATTATAACAAATGCGAACGCCAGTGTTTTGGATGTGTGCCAACAACAGAAGCGTACCAAACTTGCGGCTGAAGAGGTCGTTCACTTGTTCTCGAAGCTGCTTAATTTTTTCGAGGCCTGACAGCCTCTCCTTCTCATTATCTGCAGACAATGGGAAGATGCAAAGCCCGCTCATTAATACATTTTTTTTCCATTCAAGACACGTATTAGCAGAATGCCTGTTGACAGTTTACCCGTCTTATCAGAGCACAGTAAGTAAGCATTTGGGAAATACACGAAACGGAAGCTGTTACAGACGATGATTTTGACAACCCCATAGAAATATACCCCATAATACTTCTAAAAAATGTTTTAAATCTTTAATATGAGTATGTTACAGCTGTCCTCATGCACAGCAGGAGAAGGCATCAGATCTCAGTACAGATGGTTGTGAGCCACCATGTGGTTGGTGGGATCGGAACTCAGGACCTCTGGAAGAGCAGCCAGTGCTCTCAACCGCTGAGCCATCTCTCCAGCCCTACTTTAATTTTTTTTTACTTGTACTTATGTGTGTGCCACACACGTGCAAGCACCCATGGGGGTTGGATGAAGACATGGGATCTCCTGGAGCTTCAGGTGGTTGTGAGCGGGCATAGGATGGGAACAGAACCTGGGTCCTCTGCAAGAGCAGCAGTCCCTCTCAGCCTTCATCTGTCCCCAGCCACTGCTCATGCTTGAGGAACATGTTCAGAGCTGAGCAGGACCAGGGTGCGTATCTCCATCACTGCCTTCAACACTGTAATGCAAACCTCAGCCCTTCCAATATGACAAGAAATGAGGCTAGGGCTAGGGGGAATATCTTTAAACACTTTAAAATTAATTTTAAAAAATTTTTTAAATATTTATTTTGGTTTTTCGAGACAGGGTTTCTCTGTATAACCCTGGCTGTCCTGGAACTCACTCTGTAGACCAGACTGGCCTTGAACTCAGAAATCTGCCTGCCTCTGCCTCCCAAGTGCTGGGATTAAAGGCGTGCACCACTACCGCACGGCTAAAATTAATTTTTTAATTAAAATCATGTTTTAGGGCTGGAGAGATGGCTCAGCAGTTAAGAGCACCGACTGCTCTTCCAGAGGTCCTGAGTTCAATTCCCAGCAACCACATGGTGGCTCACAACCATCTGTAATGGGGCCTGGTGCCCTCTTCTGGTGTGTCTGAAGACAGCAATGGTGGTATATTCATATGCATAAAATAAATAAATAAATCTTAAAAAAATAAAATCTTGTTTTATTTTGTTTCTTGCTTTTTCAAGACAAGGTTTCTCTGTGTAGCCCTGGCTGTCCTGGAACTCACTCTGTAGACCAGGGTGAGATCCACCTGCCTCGGCCTCCCGAGTGCTGGGACTAAAGACATGCACCACCATGCGCAGCTCTAATTAAAAACAGTTTTTAGAAGCTTGGTGTGGTCCATACCTCCTGGCATTCAGGGGGGAGAGGCAGGCAGATCTCTGTAGTTAGAGGGCAGCCTGTCTACATAGTGAGTTCCAGGCCAGCCAGGGATACAGAGTGGGACCCTGTCTTAAAACTTAAATAGGTAATTTTTAAACAACAGTCTCCCAGCACTTGGGAGGCAGAGGCAGGTTGATCTCTGAGTTCAAGGCCAGCCTGGTCTACAGAGCCAGTTTCAGGGCAGCTTCAAGGGATCTAGTGCCCTCGTCTGGGCACCACACTCACTGCACTCACATGGCCGATTCTCACACACACATACACATAAATAAAGGAAAGCAATCTTTACAAAAAAAAAAAAAGAAAGAAAAATGTGATACAAATGATGAAGGCAGTAAGTGCATGTCCCCACCTGGGACTGTCACCTGTATGATCCTAAGATCTTCAACACCTGCCGCAGAGTTTACAATGTTGGATGGATTTGCATTTCCTTAAGAGCAAAGAAAAGAGTTAGAGTGACCAGAAAATCAGCACGTCGCTAAAGAAATACCCAAGTGTTACTTAATGAGAAGTGCAGTCTGGATACTGCCTCCCTCCCCTCCCCCAGTGCAGTGAGCACAGTATGTGGTGCTCAAGGATAGTTGACCTTCAAGGTCAGCGTGACTGCACATGTCTGTGAGCATGCTTCCACAGTTTACACTGAGGAGGGAAGCCTCATCCTGATGTTTTGGGGGCTCCACTCCATGTTCTGGGGGCCCAGACTAAACAAAAAGAAGAAAGCAAGCTAGGCACCAGCATCAATCTGCTTCCTGACTGTGGATGCAGTGTGACCAGCCGCCTCGCGCTCTGGCTACCATACCTGCTACACCGCGAAAGACTGTCTCTCCTCAAACTGTGAGCCACAAGAGAAGTTCCTCCCTTAAGTTGCTAATTTTCTTAGAAAAAATGTCTTTTTTATTTATGTGTATGAGCGTGTCTCTGTTTGGATGTGTGCATGTGAACACAGAGAGGCCAGAAGAGGAGATCAGATCCCTGGCGCTGGAGTTAGAGGTGGTTGTGAGCCACAGGACATGGGAGCCAAATTCAGGTCCTCTGGAAGGTCAAGAATTGTTCTCAATGGCTAAGCCATCTCTGCAGCCTCTTTGTGTGTTTTTTTTTTTCCTTTCAAGATATGGTTTCTCTGTGTAGTCCAGACTGTCCTAGAATCAGATCTCTAGACCAGCCTGGTCTTGAACTCAGATCTTCCTGCCTCTGCCTCCTAAGTGCTGGGGTTACAAATGTGTGCCACAACTGTCCTGCCTGCAGTCCCATTAATTCAGTACGTTGTTGCAACACTGTGACAGTCCCTAACATGCCAGATGGATGGCATCCACTGATGCTGTACTCTGCAGCTGAACAGGATGATCAAGGAGAGGGAGGTCATCCCACCCTTGGATCCTCCTTCATCCCACCCTCGGATCCTCCGTCATCCCACCTGCATTTATTTGCATCCAACTGAAGGAGCTGAAAAGCAGTGCTCCTGAGGAAATACACACAACTACAGAAAAAGAGGAAGTGCACTGGATATCATTCGATCTGGCTCTTGAATCGCCTTCCTTGGCAGGTCGATGTTGACAGGTGGGGAGTTAATCTCTTCCTGTCTTCTCAGCTGACTTGGAGGGATGTTTGCTTTCATTGTACGTGCTGTTCTTTTGGCTCACAAAGCATATTTTCTTAGCTCTTAGAGGTGCCCTGTGAAGCCTCCTTTCCAACCTCCACTGCCAAGGGCTTCCTTTGACTGAGTGAACTCCGCCTCTTTCCGAGCTTGGCAATGAGAGTTGGTTTGGAGATAGCCCCAGACAAGCCACTTGTGCAAGGCCTTCCTCCACTGCATCATACAGAGCCTTCTGAGTGAGTGTTAGGCTAGCCCATTTTTGCTTAATGAAATACATGGTGACATCTTCAAAAATGATTGATTGTTGCGGCTTACCCATTAAGGAGACAGCTGTCATCACTAAACCTTTTAGTCCCATTGTAAAGGTAACACTATCAGGACCCAGGGCTCCAAGTAGCCTCGCTGGCTTTTCATAAATAGAGGATGTGGACACCATACTGTGTCCCCCACCAACCAAACCCTCAAGCATTAATTCTAACTGTGGTTAAAGAGAGGGGCTAATTATATTTCTATTTGCAGGCCAGTGAGAAGGCTCAGTAGGTAATGGTATGTTTTCTGCAAAGCTGGTGACCTGAGTTTGGTCCCCAGACATATCAAGGTGGAAGGAAGGAGAGAAGTGACCCCACAAAGATGCCCTGACTCCCACATGCATCGACACATGGTCATCTGTCTTAGTTACTTTTGTGTTGCTGTGATAAGACACTGTTGCCAAGGCAACTTATAGAAGGAAGGGTTTATTAGGCTTATGGTTCCAGAGGGTTAAAGTCCATGACCATCATGGCGGCAGGCAGGCAGGCACAGTGCTAGAGCAGTAGCTGAGAGCCCACATCTTGATCCATGAACAGAAGGCAGAGAGAGCTCGCTGGGAATGGTGTGGGCTTTTGAACAGGCCCACCCCCAGGGACACATCTCCATCACCAAGGCCACACCTCCTAATCCTTCCCGAACAGCTCCATCAGCTGGGGACCAAGCATTCACACATATGAGCCTATGGCTCATTCTTCTCCAACACATGCATGAATGTGAACACACTGGTTCTAATCACACATACAATAATCATTTCAGAAGTAGCGAGAGCCGTATGGAAAGCCACCCTGACCATGTGACAATCACCAGCGTTTGGGTGACTCACCTTCCGTTTTCACCTCAGCCTCAGGATCCTCACTGGTCTCTGAAGAGACCATCGGAGTAGACTCTTAGAAAGAGAACATCCAAAATGACATTCATTATTAAGAATTCTCGGGTTCCCACAGTTTACTGTCCCCAGTTCCAAATTATCTTCATGCTGGGGTTTTGTTTTGAGGCGAGGGCTCAACTTTGTAGTCCAGGATGGCCTCGTTTTAGAATTTTTCAGGTTTATTTTATGTATATGGATGTTTGCTCACATTTGTACGCATACTAGGTGGTTGCAATTCACGAAGAGGTCACGAAAAGATGTTGGATCTCCTAGAACTGGAGTTTAAGCAGCTACGTGGGCGCTGGGAACTGAACTCAGGACCTCTGGGAGATCAGCAAGTGGTCATAACTGCTGAGCCATCTCTCCAGCCCCTGGTTTTGAAATTCTACATATGCTTTGAACATACTAAACACACAGTGCATTTAATTTTGTAACAGATAATCATTAGGCACATGTATGATTCAGCCTGGGGGACCGGCTTAGTTGGTAGAGCATGTGTCCAGCATGTACAAACCCCATCCTTAGCGGTGCATAAAGATCAGAAGACAGAAGTTATCCTGTGTACACAAGGAAGTCTATGGCTAGCCTAGGCTACATCAGACCTTGTCTCCACAGAAGTAAACATGATTTCACATGGGATTCTCCTATAAGGGATGAGGGGAGATAGAAACGTCCACATATTACCAAACAATCTAGAGCTGTTCATGCTCGTGGACACTGAGTCCTCTACTAGGGCAGCGGCATTCCACATGGTCACAGTGCTTCTTAACTTTGTGAGTGACTACTATGGGGTGGGGAGGGGCTGCTGGAGAGGTGACTCACTTGTTTTGGTTTTTCAAGGCAGGGTTTCTCTGTGTAGCCCTGGCTGTCCTGGAACACCTTCTATAGACCAGGCTGCCCTTGAACTCACGTAGATCTGCCTATCCATGCCTCCTGAGTGCTGGGATTAAAGGCACAGGGCACCACCTGCCTGGCTGAGATGATTCAGTTGTTAAGAACACATTTGGAGGGGCTGGAGAGATGGCTCAGCAGTTAAGAGCATTGGTTGTTCTTTCAGAGGTCCTGAGTTGAATCTCCACATAAAGGGATCTGATGCCCTCTTCTGGCATGGAGGTGTACATGCAGATAGAGCGCTCACATACATTAAATAAATAAATAAATAAATAAATAAATAAATAAATAAATAAAACGCTCTTTTTGTTTTTGGGTAACACCAGAGTTTACTCCCTAACACCCATGGTGGGAGGCTCACAACTGGCAGTAACTCCAACTGCAGGGGATCTGATACCTTTCTACCCTCTGTTTGTACCTGAACTCAGGTGAACAGACATGCACACACACAACTAAAAATAAAATGAATTTTAAAAAATGAATTACTAGGATTAAAAGAGAGAGAGACACACACATACACAGAGACAGAGAGAGACAGAGAGAGAGAGACAGAGACAGAGACAGAGAGAGGATATGGTGGTCTATGATCCTAATGCCCAACTGTAAGGAAGTTGAGGCAGGGGGTTTCAACTTTGACGCCAGCCGGCCTGAACTATGTCCAAAGCCTGTCTTCTAAAAAAAAGAAGGTCGAGTGTGATTGTGCAGGCCTTTAATCCCAGCACTTGGGAGGCAGAGGTGGGTGGGTGTGTGTGTGGGAGGGGGGGGATCTGTGTGAGTTTGATGCCAGCCTGGTCTAAAGAGTGAGTTCCAGGCTGGCCAGGGCTACAGAGTGAGACCCTGTCTTAAAAAACCAAACCAAGCAAACCAACCAAATAAACAAACAAAAAACCCAAAACCGAAAGGGCAGAAAGGCCAGCTGCGGGCTGCCACGCTGTCCTCCCACAAGTGCAGGCGGAGAGGATGCTGCACGTCTGAGGCTAGCAGCTACACGGTGAGCGCCAACCTGGGCTACCCACATCCTCTGCCAGCAAACAAAAAGACCTAGTGTGGTAAGGCCACGGTGGGCAGCCCGGTGTGGGGTTCCCACTTACTGAATTTACTCAAAGCCCCTAATGCGGCTTCCTAAGACAGACGTGCCAGGAGGCCGCCTTCTCTATTTCCCCCGCATTTAAGGGGAGGAGGCGCTTCATTTTCTAACCTTCAGAAGGTAGTTCCATTTCGATGACATCACTGCTGGCGGAAGAATGCTGGCTTCCTGAAAGGAGAGTAAGCAGGCTACAGCTCGGCACCAAACACGATACACAGAAGTCACTGGGGCTGCCGAGATGGCTCAGCGGGTAAAGGCGCTTGCAGCCAAGACTGAAAAACCGAGTTTGAGTCCTGGGACCCGTACCATGGCGTTCCCTCCTTTCCCCATCAATAAGTAAATTTAAAATGTAATAATACGCCGGGCGGTGGTGGCGCACGCCTTTAATCCCAGCACTTGGGAGGCAGAGGCTGGCGGATTTCTGAGTTCGAGGCCAGCCTGGTCTACAGAATGAGTTCCAGGACAGCCAGAGCTACACAGAGAAACCCTGTCTCAGAAAACCAAAAAAAGAAAAAAAAGTAATAATACGTTTTGAATAAAGCAAAGAAGCCACTGACTGCAACGGAAGCATTTTAAGAACGGAGATGTGGCTCAGTAGAAAGTCCTGGGAGCCACACCCCCAGCACCACACAACCCCAGCACTCAGAAGGTGGAGGCAGGAGGATCAAGAGTTCAAGATCATCTTCTAGGACACAGTAAGTTTGGAGCAAGCCTGGGCTACATAAGACTCTGTCTCTAAATAAACAAACAAACAAACAAACAAATAAATAAAAAAGAGGAGTTACAGAAACCTGGGGTCCCCAAATCACTTGCACCACTACAAAGTCCTTTTTGTTTTCTATCTCTAAAACATTGTTTTTAGCAGGGCTGTGGGGGCACACGCCTTTAATCCCAGTACTCGGGAGGCAGGTGCAGGCAGATCTCCAAGTTCTAGGCCAGCCAGGTCTACAGAGTGAGTTCTAGGACAGCCAGGGCTACACAGAGAAACCTTGTCTCAAAAAACCAAACCAAGCCAAACCAAAATTCATTTATCTATTCTGTGTATGCTAATGTGGGGGGGTGCCACAGTACATATGAGGAGGTCAGAGGTCAGGTTGTAGAAGCTGGTTCTTTCCTTAGACTATGCGGGTGCTGGGGATGTTTGGGGGCAGGCACGTTACCCATGGGTCTTCTTGGAAGTGCTCTAGTTTTGTTGTTGTTGTGGAAAAAAAAGTGTATCTTGGAATTATCTTAATTTAGAAATAGCAAGCTTTTTAGGCAGAGGGAAGGAAAGAGCCCAAGGCGTATGGGCCGGACTACTTCATGACGTCTCACCTCACTGTTCAGTAGTGCCCAGGACGGTGGGGGGGGGGTGTGCTCAGCCACCACAGCAGTGTTAGTTATAGGAAATACGGATCAGTGTCACACGGAAGCCAGTGGATCCTGTCACAGCAATCCTATTGCTGTGGCCACAGCAATCTTCTACATTCAGTTGTCTGTTTAATGTCTGTACTGGCTGGTTTTATGTCAACCTGACGGAAGCTAGAGTCATCAGAGAGGAACGAATCTCCGTTTAAGAAACGCCTCCATGAGATCCAGCTAAAAGGCATCTTCTCAATTAGTGATTGATAGGGGAGGGCCCAGCCCATGGTGGGTGGTGCCATCCGTGGGCTGGTCGTCCTGGGTTCTCTAAGAAAGCAGGCTGAGCAAGCCATGAGGAGCGAGCCAGTAAGCAGCACCCCTCCACGGCCCCTGCATCAGCTCCTGCCTCCAGGTTCCTGCCCTGCTTGAGTTCCTGTCCTGACTTCCTTGAGTGATGAACAGCAATGTGGAAGTGTAAGCCAAATGAACCCTTTCCTCCCCAACTTGCTTTTTAGTCATGGTGTTTTGATGCAGCAATAGAAACCCTAAGACAATGTATATGGAAGTTTTGTCTGCAGGTATATCTACACGCCAGAAAAGGGAATCAGATCCCATAGGACTACAGTGAAAGACAGTTGTGAGCTGCCATGTCAGTGCTAGGAATTGAACCCAGGACCTCTGGAAGAGTAGACAGTGCTCTTGGCCACGGAACCATCTTTCCAACCCTGGAAGTCTTTCTTTGAGGTTTGGTGCCTCTTTAATCAGCTGAATTTGTCCTTTACAAACTGCTGGCTTGGCTCAGTAAACTGCATTATGTCATCGATCCATGACTGTATGCAGGATGACACTCTGAGAAGCTTTTCTTACATTAAAATATATATATTATTTTTATTTCATGGCAGTTGGTGGTTTGTCTGCATGTATGTCTGTGTGAGGATGTTGGATCTCCTGAATCTGTAGTTACAAACAATTGTTAGCCACCATGTGTATGCTGGGAATTAAACTCAGGTCCTCTGGAAGAGCATCCAGTACTCTAAACCACTGAGCCATCTCTTCAGCCTGGGTTTCTTAATTTCTGAGATAGAGTCTCATGTAGCCCAGGCTTGAATTTTCTAGATAGTTATGGTGGTTTGAATGAAAATGGCCCCCACAGACTCACTGGGAGTCATTATGGGAGGTGTGGCCTTGTTGAAGTGGGTGTGGCCTTGTTGGAGAACATGTGTCATGGGGGTGGGATGGGCTTTGAGGTTTCAGAAGCTCAAAGGAGCCAGTGTCACTCTTGAGTTGTGCTGCCTGTGGATCTGTATGTACCTCTTCAGCATCATATTTGCCCGTGTAACGCCACGTTTCCTGCCATGACAACAAGGGACTAGTAAGCCTCTGAACTGTAAGCCAGCCCCAACTGAATGCTTTCCTTTATAAGAGTTGCCATGGTCACAGTGTCTCTTCACAGCAATAGAACAATGACCAAGACAGAAGTCAGGGATGACCAGGAACTTGAGATTCTTCTGCCTTTACTTTCTGAGCGCTGAGATTACAGCTGTGCCCCACAAATGCCCCACTGTATTTAAGATGAATTCCATTCATAGTGTAATTTGAAAGGCAGCTCGCTGGTCTAGGTCAGCACGCATGCATCTGTAGCTCTGGCTTTGTGTGGTGTGTGTGGTATATTCATACATGTGTGTGGGTGCAGTGTCTGTGTGCACAGGCTGGAAGAGGATATCCGGTGTCCTGTTCCATCCCTTGCAACCATATCCGGATCCTGGAGACAGGAGCTAGGTCAGCAAGCTGCAGAGACCCATCTGTCTCTGGTCCCACCAGTGCCGACCTGCGGCCATGGCAAGCTTTTTCTGTGGGTGCTAGGACCTGAACTCAGGTCCTCAGGCTTGCTCAGCAAGTGCTCTTCCCCACTGGGCCATCCTCCTGTCCCCTTCACTCCTCTTTCTCAGCTCTTGGATGAGTGATTACCACTCTGCTTGGGAAGGAACCGGAACCACATTACCTTGCACGTTACATGGATGGTAATTCGGATCTTCTGACTCTGTCTTGATTAGCACGGCTGCTGCCTTTGGTGATGTGCCTGGGTGGGCAACAGAGACCACAGTTAGGGGTCAGGGAAGCACAGCCAGCTGACTGAACATCTCCTTTGGTGTGAATGGTGGCACAAGCCTGTCATCCCAGCATGTAGGAGGTAGAGGCCGAAGCAGAAGAATCAACTGTTCAAGATTCCCTTTGAAGCAGGGTGTGATGAAGCATGCCTTTACTCTGAGCATGTCAGACACTGAGGCAAGTGCATCTCTGGGAGTTCAAGGCTAGCCTCATCGGCATGGCAAGTTCCAGGCTAGCAAGGGCCTCCTCGTCTTAAGAACTGAGTCTTAAAAATAAACTCCTCTGTGGCTAATTAACAGTAAACTGGAGGCCAGTCTGCAGGGACATGTGTCAGTGACGTGAAGATTTCCCTCCACCTCTCAAAGGTCCCACTACCCCCCAGTGCATCCCTGGGAAACACTGTTAGCAATGGCCCCGTGGGGATCATGCAAGACCAAACTGGAGTGACAGCTTTGGAGAAGCAAAGTCAAGAGGAAGAATGAGCCACGTATCATGGCTGAGCAGAACTGAGCTGTGGAGTATGCATCCACAGACTCCAAGTATCCAACTCGGCTTTCAACCCTCAACTCTTTCCTGGTTAACAATGGAGACAGGTGCTTCTCCAGTCACAATGTCTTTGGCTTGTGCCTTGGATGGTCAGAGGATTTAAAAACCAAACACCCCAGAGCTTTATGGGGGCTGGAGATACGGGCAAGTGGCTAAGAGGATGTGTTATGCTGTTATGAAGGCTTAAGTTCATGACCCAGCACCCACAAAGTGAGCCAGGTGTCCCCCCACACTTGTAATCCCAGTTCCAAATGGAACAGAGGCAGGAGGATTGCTGGGTCTTCAAGGCTTCCAGTCTAGACCACAAAAAACATGAGTCTCAGGTTTAGGGAGAGACTCTGTATCCATGGATAGCATGGATGTCATGCTGGAGTGACAGAGGAGGTCACCCAATGCCTTATTCTGGCTTCAGTACACACAGATGTGTGCACACTTACATATGCACACTCAATGGACACACAAAGACTGTATGTAGTGGCTCACACATGTAATCCCATATATATATACACATATACAAACATATGTATGTATGTATACACATATATATGTATATATTTACATATATTTATATAAATATATATATATTTACATAGGTGGGTGGTTTTTTTTTTTTTTTTTTTTGGTTTTTCGAAAAAGGGTTTTTCTGTTTAGTCCTGGCTGTCCTGGAACTCACTCTGTAGACCAGGCCGGCCTCGAACTCAGAAATCTGCCTGCCTCTGCCTCCCAAGTGCTGGGATTAAAGGCATGCGCCACCACTGCCCGGCATGGGTTTTTTTTTTTTTTTATGCATGTGTATGTCTGTACACCAGAAGAGAACCACTGTGACCCATCATGTGGGTATGGGAGAACTTAACTCAGGACCTCTGGAAGAGCAGCCAGTACTTTTAATCACTGAGCCATCCCTCCAGCCCTGTAATCTCACATTTTAAACCTGTACTGTATAGCCAGACTCTGCCTCAGAAAAAAAAAATATCCCAAATCTGACAAATTTCAAAACTGAAGATGCTTTTGGAGTCAAACTTTATTTATTTTATCTGAATTTTTTTCTTTTCTTTTCTTTCAAGTGGTGCCCTGAGTCCTTGGAACTGGAGTTACATATGGTTGTGAGCCACCATGTGGGTGCCGGGAACCAAACCCAGGTCCCCTGCATGAAGTCCTCTTAAAAGCTTAGCCATCCTGCCCCTCACTCATTTACCTTTCTGTGTGTGGTGTATGCATGTGTATACACACGCCATGGCAGGTGGTGTGTGGAGGGCAGAGGGCAGGTTGTGAGAGTTGGTTCTCCTCTTCCAGGATGTAGATCCTGGGGCTTGAATTCAGGTCATTAGGCCAGTGTCCTTGCCTGCTGAGCCATCTCAGGGACTAATGAACTGCTGGGACCAAGCATTTCAGATAAGCAGTACTTATCTAGCATTCTGCAAATATGATCCTTGTTATGGTTAAATACTTATTAGTCGTTTTTATAAGCACATCAGTCAGAAGATAGCCTGCTAAACATTTGATGGTGGAAGCATCAGTTTACCTACCAGAATCTTCAATGGGCTCAGTCTTCACACTGACGGGACCATAGCTGCAAGGAGAAGGAAACCCAGGTCAAGAATTAGGGTGGAGCTGGGCATGATTGCACACAGCTGTTATCCCAGCACTTGGGAGGCAGGGGCAGGTGGATCTCTGAGTTCGAGACCAGCCTGGTCTACAGAGTGAGTTCCAGGACAGCCAGGGCTACACAGAGAAACCCTGGGTCAAAAGCAAACAAAAAACACTAAATAAATAGGAACATTTTTTTAACATGTCAAGTGTTTTGTTGCACGTATTCATGTATACCATGTGTGTTCCTTGTGCCTATGGAGATTAGGGAGGGTGTCAGGTCCCCTGTAACTCAGTTACAAGGAGGTGTAAACCGCCTGACATGGGTGCTGGGAACCATACTGGAATCTTCTGGAAAAGCAGCGATGGATCTTAAGTGCAGAACCATTTCTCTACCCTCATTAGCTATCCCCCTTCCTTCTTTCTTCTTGACACAAGATCTCATGTGGGCTATCCTCACACTCCCTGTGTAGCCAAGGATGACCTTGAACTCCTGACCTTCTTGCCTCCCCTCTCCTGAGATCACAAGGCTCTGTCACTCACGATTCCTGTTTTATTCTTATGTGCCTTTATTAATTACCGATTTATTTATTACTTTTTTTTTTACCTGTCATTTGGTGGTACTGCCGGCCTCTCGGCATCTGTCACCATCCCAAGACCACCTGTGCAAGAACAGAACGGTGCAGGTTAGTGTCTCTCAGCACCGTGGAACACGACTCACATTCAAGGACACATCATTTGAAAGCAAACAGAGGAAAGAGAATTCTCAACTAAAGGCCATCACAGAAATGCTAGCCAGGAAGGAGGCCGGTCAACACCAGCTCTGCTTATTACAGCAGCAGGTGGACTACCGTGATGCTGGACAGACAGTGCCTGGAATGTAGGTGAGGACTCCAGCCTAGCCAGTCACCAGCTGGGTCACCTGAGTGAGTCACTAAAGTGGCCTTCATGGAAACAGTGAGGACAGGTGAGTAGCAGACCCTCCACATCCAATGGTTCCCAACTCCAGGTGCTCAGCACAGGCTGAAGCAAGTCTCAAACAAACAAACACCCAAGGTCCTGGACATACAGAGGTTTGTGTCATTATTCTTTTTTTTTTTTTTTTTTGGTTTGGTTTTTCAAGACAGGGTTTCTCTGTGTAGCCCTGGCTGTCCTGGAACTCACTTTGTAGACCAGGCTGGCCTCGAACTCAGAAATCCACCTGCCTCTGCCTCCTAAGTGCTGGGATTAAAGGCGTGTGCCATCACTGCTGGGCAACTTCTTGTTTTTAAAACTTCTTTTTTTATTTGGATTATGACTTTTTCTTTTTCTAAATTATTATTTTTAAGTTGTATTTTTGGTGCTGAGGATTGAACGGGGGGCAGGGCCTTGCATGAACTAGGCAAGCGCTCTGCCACTGACCTCCGTCCCTCAGATCTTTCGGTTGTTTTCAACCTCATCTCATCGGCTGGCTTGGAACTCATTCTATGGCCCACGCAGGCCTCAAACCTGTTATTCTCCTGCCTCAGCCTCCCCAGCACTGGAATGACAGCCTTTGGCTACCATGCTGGCCAGTCTCACATTTACCACTCTCCCTGTTATTGGATATTCAAAGTGGGCTAGACTGGATTAAGACACACAGAGTGAACTCAGACCTCATTCGAAACAACTCCGTATTTTCCATTGCATAGAAGGAGTTTGACATCCAGGGACTTTGGAGTTCCAGACCAGACATCCCACACAGGCTGAGGGACACTGGAACACTGTCATCACAGAACCACTAAACGGCTGCTGCTGTGTGTGACTGTTATTTGGGAAGAAAATAGGAATTATTCTGCGGTGACAGTCATCTGGTCACCTGTCGTTTGACTATCAAAGCATAGATTTTTTTCTTTAGATTTTTAGAAAGGCTTGTTTTAACTTTTTATGTATATAAATCTTAAATGCTTAAATGTATGTCTATCTCATGGATGCCTGGTGCCCCTGGAAGCTAGAAGCAGGCGTGGATCTTGTGGAACTGGAGTAACAGGTACTTGTAAGCCGCTGTGTGGGTGCTGGGAACTGAGCCCTGGTCTTCTGCAGGAGTTAGTAACTGCTGGAGCATCTCTCCAGTCCTTTCGTTGGATTTATTTATTTTTTTAAATTGAGACAAGGTTTTGCTCAGGCTGGTCTTGAACTTTCAACCTTGCTGCCTCAGCCTCTCAAGAGCTGGGATGGCAGTGAGCACCTCCACACTAGACTTTGACTCTGTTCTCTCTCAAAAGCTGGAGGACAAGGACCTCAGAAAGACCCCCACAAACAGGCCTGGAAGGGGATCATATAGGCTTAGGTACATAGCAATGGGGGCACACAGGTCCCACCTCTGTAACTCCATCCTCTCCCTGTGCTGCCTATCACGGCACCCCCTTTATTCCTTTGTTGTGGTGGTGGTGTTACTGTTCATTTTTAAATTTTTTTTAAACATGGTTTCTCTATGTCTCCTTGGCTGTCTTGAATTTGGTACGTGGTTCAGGCTAGCCTTACTTCCTGAACCTCTTGCCTCTGCATCTCCAGGGCTGGTTCTACAGCAGTGGCCACCACCCCAGTGAGTCTCTGATTGTCCTGAGGGCCGTATGGGCATGGAGCTTTCTAAGCCAGCTCTTCTAGCCCCGTGCCAACTTTGGGAATGACTCTGACATCCTAACAGCGTCACTGTTTTCCTGGCTTTTTCCTAAGCAGAATTATTCCTTCTCCTTGATCCGAGTCTCAGAGACACAGGAATGAATCCTAGAGCCCTCAAATCCAGTAACTCCGACCCTTGCAGGGCTGGTACTCACAGACCGCCAGCTTACTCCCTACATCCCCACATGCCTCTGGAAGACAAGGTGGCTGTCACTACAGAGTCTCCCCAGCCTGGGGTGTGAGGAGTCTCTGACTGCTGTCTCTTCCTGTTCAGGACATCTGCCTAGCCCTTAAGTGTCAAAGTGCCATAGGTGTTTGTTCCCTCTCCTCCTTTCTAGTGTTGATGAGAGAACCTAGGGGCCCATGCATGTTATTCTCCCATGGAGGGATGCCCAGAGCCCATCACTGAAAGATTCTAGGCAGGGGCTCTACCACTGAGCCACGCCCCCAGCCCCTCACTGGGGGATTCTAGGCAGGTACTCTACCATTGAACCTCATTATGCCTTGAGTCTCCCACTAGGGGATACTGGACAAGTTCTCTCCCCCTGACCCATGTGTCTAGAACCTCACTAACGGATCTAAGCAGGCGCTCTACCACTTAGTTGTGCTCCAAACCACTTACTAAGGGATTCTAGGCAGGTGCTGTACTAGCAAACACACACCCTTAGCCCCTCACTGGGCAATCCTAAAGGTAAGAGATCTACCATCAAGCTGCACACCCCCAGCTCAGGTTGCCTCATCGATGCAGTAAAATGGAGGAGTGTATTAGAACATGCATCATCACTACGATAGTGGAATGGCTTTGGTGGTTCTAGGCAGCCACTGAGGATCAGAATCTGTTACTTACCCAGCTGGTTCTCTGTACCTAGGAAAGGTCTGCAAGAAAACCAACACCATTACCTAACATGAAGACAAGCAGAGCAGTCATACACAGTGAACACTTTCATTTTCTTGCAATGCTGGGCATAGAACCCAGGGCCTGGTATATGCCCGGGGGTGATCTACTTCAGCTACCTCAGCTGTGGCCCCAGACCATGATAATTTCATTTCCCTTTCCTTCTTTCTTCTTCCTCCCTTCATTTCTTTCTTTTCCCTTCCTTCTTTCCTTCCTCTCTCCCTCCCTTCCTTCCTTTCTTAAGATAGGGTTTTGGTATATATCCCAGGCTGTCCTTGAACTCACTGTAACTTGGGCTTGCCTCAAACTTGCAGTGACTCTCCTGCCTCAGTCCCCCGGTTCTGGGATTGCAGACCTGTGCCACCATGCTTGGCTGAAGCCAGCTTGTCTCTGAGCTGTCAGAGGCTATGGAGCAGATTACCTCTTTATGACGAATGAGATCCCTGCTCTGTTCTCCAGAATCCACTTCAGGGTCGCAAGGCTGTAATTGTCAGGGTGCTGGAAGGCCAGGCCTTCCGGAAGGCCCTGAACCACCACAGCTGCCTTGTCCTGAAGCATCTGCTCATAGGGAACAGGGACCATGGCTGTTGTCCCCAGTGCTTTCCCTAGGACAGGATGTGAGAGATGGTAGATGACACTCTCAGCCAGCTTCATCTAGTGTGACAGACACAGGGACATGCAGCTGGAACATACATGAAGACCACAGAGTATGCTCTCTCTCCACCTCCTGAGTGTGGCTGCGATGTGACCAGCCAGCTTCCTGCTCCTGGCCCTGCCCCTTCTTTGCCCATTGCTGTGTCTTCCCTGCCATGATGGCTCTATCCCTCTTGGCTGACATTGATGGTCAACATGACTGCATCAGGAATCAACTCTGACCCGAGCAACTGTGCACACTGTGAAGGATTTTCTTGACTGGATCATTTGAGGTGAGATGAAGACCCACCGTAAATCTCAGTCACAGCTTTAAAGGAAGCGTTGGCACGGTGCCTGCTTGCCCTCACTCTCACTGGCAAGTTCATCTGTCCTGCTGCTGGGGCATTCCTTCACTGATACTAGAACCTACTTCGTTGGAATTCCAGTGTAGACTGAAGACTAGCTAAGACATCCAGCCCTGGGCTGAACAACTACCAGATCCTTGACCGTTCTGTCAGGAGACAGTCATTGTTGAATTAGCTGGATCATAGCCTGTAAGCCACAATTATACATACAGACACAGACACACAGACACATACACAGAGAGATAACGTATGTTTATTTTATATATATATATATATATATATATATAT